TGGGCTAAAGAAATAAATATATATTACATTACAACCCTCTGACATGCTTTATGTTTTGAGTTTGTTTGTCCGCATGCATCATTGCTTCTGATCTGTGTCAATTCTTCCTATGTAAGTACGTTTAAAGTCTAATTTAGCCTTGTATGATTGGGAGTGTTTTGTGGACCAAAAAAGGGATTTGTTGGTTAGCCGTTCCAACTTGTTTGGGACCAGAAGCGTAGTAGTTGTTGTACTGATTTGTTGGTTAGCTGTGCATATTGATGAAAACACTTTTGGCACTATCCAGTACCATGAGTTTCACGTCCATCTGCCTGTTTCTGTAGAATAGTGCATGACCAATGATGATAAATCATAAATGACCAAAAGCAAAGAGACTTGGTCTATTATTTTGCCATTTCATCGTTTCCTGTCCATTATGTAGGTAATTGTACAGCTATGAAGCATGTATTTTTCACTGATTTATTCCTTTCATTTGCCTGCTAAAAGGAAGGCAAAAGAAGTTGTAGATAATAACCATAGATCTTATCAACTTCCATTGGATGCGATCATGTGAAGAACTGAAAGTCTAAAACAAATTAAGATACAATATTGTAAATGCTCATAGATTCTGTATTAAACCACTAAAAGGTACAAGTAATCCAATTGATGGATAAAGCTGCAAGCATGCCTTCCCCTCTGCACTGATGATAGTTTGTTTCTTCCTTGTATAGATAGATGCACATCTGCATCTGTAGATTTGATAAGTTTGTCAAAACAAATGTATGAGGCTAATACTAATTCTCTTTCGCCGTGGAAGTAGTTTGGTTTAGACTTGTACTCCAAATCATTATGCCTCATTGAGAGGCATTTAGTGAATCATTTACTGTGGGTTTTGTATACATTTCCTTGTGAATGAACGAATTATAATTGGATGAGCAAGCACATTTTCCAAAGGGATTGCTGATGAATTTTGAAACAATTGTATGCAAATGCCCATGTACCTCCTTCAGCTCCCAAACATCAATCCACCTTCCTTTCCCTCAGAGACATATTTCGTGAATATTCGGGGTTTAACTGATACTTCTGAAGGTTAGGAGCCATTAGACATTAGCAGTAATCTGAAGTTTGTCACCAGTGCTTGGACAGAATGGATAAGAGGGAAAGGCTGCATACATGAAAATAAATAGGAAATAGAGATTACTTGAGGGTACCACCGCTTTTTACCCCGCCATGTCTTTGCAGTATAGCTGAACAGCAAGATCAATTCCATTTTGTGTTCTTGATGTATCATGAGTGAGTGAGATTGAATATCCATGTTCTTGTGGTTCTCTTGAATTCTTTTAGCGTCTGAAAATTAGTTTCGGAAATTTTCATCCTTCAGGACATCACCCTGATTTAGTTGAAAAAATTATGTTCTAATAAGTTCCTGAACAACATCAAATGGTTCTTTTCCCCTCCCATTTTGCTGTAATTCTGCCATACTATTAATAACATATTTTCTTGATTCGTTTGACAGAAGAAAAGAAAACTTCAACAGTTTCTGAAAGATCAGTTGAGATCTGCTCCTGGACTTCCAGCAGAGAAATTTAACCAGAAAAGTAAATCAAAACTACGTAGAGGACAAGGGCATTTTTCTCATGCCTCCGGTATTTCATGCTTACTTAATTCAGTTAACTCTGCAAAAAGTTCTCGCCAAAAAAATTTCTCAAGTTCGCACAATGCATATAGTTTACTGGCATTTGAGGACAATTTTCAAGAGCAGTTATCTTCAGAATTCTCCCTCCAGAATGATGCAAAAGATTTTGGTCCTACCAGCAAGGATTTATCTTCCTTAGTTGATTCTGATGAGTCAGTAAATGGTTCAGATCTGATGAGTCGTGATAATCGGACCCCTTCCGTTGCCTCCTTGCTGACCTTGGATGATGCAATTCATAATTCAAGCTTGTTGTCTGTGAGAGGATCAAGAAGCAGATCTTTACAACCACCTCGTCAATCCTTCAGGTTGCTGAACTTCATTGGCGACCACCTTCAGAGATTTGTTATTCCAGTGGGGCCTCGTTTCCAAGCTGAAGTTCCAGACTGGACGGAACCAGCAGACAAGGATGACATTAATAGTAAAGCCATTGACTCTGAAGATTCAAGATGGTTAGGCACCCTAGTTTGGCCTATTGAAATCGGGAATATGGAAGTGTCTTCTAGACCAATTGGAAAAGGGAGACCTCACTCCTGCTCTTGTCGGTCTCCAGGAACCACTAACTGTGTCAATCGCCACATTCTTGAGGAAAGGCTAATTCTGCAATGTGACCTTGGCCCTGCTTTCTTCAGTTGGAAATTTGATGAAATGGGAGAGCAAGTTTCGAAGGCATGGTCATCCAAGGAAAAAGCGGCCTTTGAGTCATTGGTCAAAAGGAAACCAGAACCAAGTGGAAAGAACTTTCTGAAGCATGCAGTAAAGTCCTTACCACAAAAGACTGGGAAAACCATCATCAACTATTACTTCAATGTATTCATCCCCCGACAA